GTGAATACCTTCCCCAAAATAATTCCTTATGTTCTAATAAGAATGTATTGGAAGCAATTTCATCAATAATGGAAGATTCAATTACTGGTCTTCTGGATTAAGGCATTCTCTTATTGCAAGATTTTAATGCTAGGACGGGATGTTCAAATATTGCCAGTGAAATCTCAGACTAATTAAATGATTACAGCCTTAAGGAAAGGGCAACCAAGACTCCCCTCAGCCTTCCCAATGATAGTCTCTATATGCAGTGAACAGATGTGGACATATACCCTATTTCAAAAGAAAAAAAAAATCTAAGAAGTTGTTTAAAAAAAATCAGTCAACTTTTGAATAAAAAAGAAATGATGCTATTTCTTTAGGAAACCCTCATCAACTTTTTGCGGAAGGAATGGTTGTAGTTAAGAATGCAGTGGTGGAGGGACACCTGGGTGGTGTAGTCGGCTAAGCATCTGACTCTTGGTTTTGGCTCAGGCCTAATCTCAGAATGGTGAGACCGAGCCCCAAGGGGGGCTCCATGCTCTGTGCAGAGTCTGCTTGAGTTTCTGTGTCTCTTGTCCTCTGCCCCTCCCCCAGCTCACACGCGTGTGCATGCTCTCTCTCTCGCTCTCTCTCTCTCATATAAGTAAATATAACTTAACAACAACAACAAAGAATGCAGTGGGGGACCCAAACAAATGAATTCTGCTAGGCCTTCACTTATTCAGATGTTTAGAGGTGACAGTAATTGTCACCACTGTTTTACAAGCATAGCCCATGTGTCAGGTCCTCTTCCATGCTTGTCCTACCATCATTTTACAGATAAGGAAACTGAAGCATGGAGGGGTTAATAACTCAGGAAACAAGTGGCAGAGTTGTTGGCATGTCTCACAGCTTCCCCTCTTACTCACTATTGACAATACTCCACAGACTTCTGTTCTCTGTTATCCTAATCACCTGCCTGTAGGGAACCAACAGTGGTTTGCAGCCATGGGGCAAGGGCAGGAATCCAAGACTGAGTCAGGGAAACCGAGGTCCACATCCAGACAGTCCTCCAGCAGGAATTTCTGTTTTGTAACACATCGACATGGGATGTTCTCCCTAGAAGGTGGAGGCCGTGGTTTCCCAGGGTGTGAAGGATCATGTTTTGCAGCGGCTCCTCTTGACTTAGACAGTAGCTCTCACAGCACCTGTTTCATGCCCATTTCTCACACAGAGAAGTCTTTGGTCCTTTAAATCCTTGCACCCATTCTCTTCCTAACACTGTATTTTTTTGGGTGACAGGGAGTAGTGGATATGTCTCTGGCTTGGTGGACCAAAAGACATGATCCTGAAACTTCCCTCTACTGTTTGTGGGAAAGGCTTCTGGGACTCAGTCAAACCAGCCCTTCCTTCCTTTAGGAACAGATGAATCTTTGAAAGTGCTATAGCATCTTTAAAAAAAAGTAAGTGATATCTCTTTATGAGGACTTATTTTAAAGAAAAATTTGGCACAGGGAAATTTAAGAGAATGTTTTTATTATATGACCTTGAGAATAATTTTTATCATGTAAGATCCCTCTTCTAGCACCCTTGATAACGGTTCTATCATTTGTTTAAAGAAATTTGTGTATGTCAAGTTTGTGTTCTTTGATGGAAAGATGAGTTTTCTCAGAGAACATGGTCACTGGACATAGAAGCCATAAGTTAAAATAATAAAGCCTTACTAATAAAGTTAGAAAAAAGATTTATTCCCTGGCATTGGCAAGTAAGTGAGGTTGGCCTGGAAATCATTGAACAATCATATTAAGATTAGTTCTGTAGATGCTCAAAATGGGACAAGTAAATGCTCAAATTTGGACATAGTCCACCCATCCTGAGACTGATAACACATGGTAATCATAGATCACCCTCTCAGACAATTGCTTAAAATCAGCCACAGCCAATATCACATCCACTGCAGAGAAAATGTGAGGAGTCATCATATTTTGGGATGACTTCAATGGAATAGAATGACTGAGGTTTTGAATTTGATTAATTACTTTACATTATCCCTTCAGAGAGACCTCTACTTTTAATGGGAACCTAGAAAAAATATAATTGGTGTAAATGGTTAGGCTAAAAATAGACCGTGAATCTTCCCATTCTAAAAGCTACAGAATTTCCTAGGTAATGTCAATCTAAGTTTGAAATGGTGAGAGTAAGAAAAAGGGAAGAGGGATTAAATGTGCCCATTTATTGGAAGCCCTGGGACACCTAGAAGGGATGTGTAATCCTGGTCAAGGCCCACATCAGAGTCTTCGTTCACTTAGAACTTCAGTTCAATACCCCTGCGAATCCTTGCAAAGGCTTTCCAGCTTTCAGATTCCCCTCTCTCACATCAGCCTGCCATCGCTGCATCCTGTTGACTCCCCAGGAATAAATAGAAACAATTCTTCCAAGCCAGACAACCCCTGAGTTCACATTTACAACCCAGGACTCAAGCTGTTTTGCTTTTAATTTTACTATTACTACATCCAATACAGCTAGGTTGTAATTTTGGCCAACATCAGTTGATGCTTCTAATTTGTGGCTTCTATTTATTTTTGTAAAGTGAATTAATTCCTGGCTCTATTAATCCAGCAAAATCCATGAATCCTTAATGTTCAGTTTGCTAAGAATGAGTCACAGTGTATTTGTTCCTTCTCAAATATGACTTCTTGCTGAGCGTTGGATGAGCTCCTCTTAGGTAGCGCGCCTTATATCTTGGATGATTTATTCACTTTCATGTTCCGTAGAATTTACTGCAAAAGGTTGACATGAATACTTACAGTTTGGGATCTAATATAATCTCTTGGATGGCAATTAATAAATAAAAGATGGTTACTATTGTTGACAGAGGAGCTAAGCTTTCTCAGATAGCGTTCTTCATCTTCTTGTTTTCACCAAACTTCACGTCAGACATCCTGAGGGGTTGATGGTGTAAAATATTTTCTGTAAACGCCAAAGCTTTTACTGTTGCTTCAATACCCCAAACCTCTATGTTGCCTTTTGTTTTCTTGTCAAAAATGATCTTATCCAATTTCTGTTTCTTCAACTTGCCTTCCTTCCTGAAAATATTAGAAGTATGCCTCTTTTTTGAATTTAGTAGCAACATAGTCTCAGTGTTTGTGACTTGCAAGTAGCATCTGAAATCTGTCCCTGAAATTTCTTGTAATTTTTTTTCGTTCAAGCTCATCTCGGTTGCATTGATCCAAGATACACTGTCGCCTATAAAATGCAGTGTTTATTGTCTCATGTATGTTGTCCAAAGTGCAGAATTGCCTCCTGTAAGTTAATGATGAAAGTAGAATTATAGGAACATCTGATCTTTGTAGTTTGCCTACTTGGCCAATCTCACGGGACTAATCTAGACTGATGATCTTCTTCTAGAGACGAGGACTCTGTGGGCCAGTTTAAGTAGCTTGACTCTAATCGAATTGAGGACAGAGGCCAAGTTTCTCTTTAGAGCAGAAATGCTGGAGTGAGGCTGCCTAAGGACAATTCCCGGTTCTGACGCAGAGTGAGTGTGTAATTTTACAGCCGTTATTTCTCTGCTCTGTGCGTGAGTTCTCTCATCTATAAAATGGGATTAACAATAATAACTGTCAGGATTATAGGAAGGTAATACAGGTAAAGCACTTAGAATAGGACAAAGCTTGTCATGCCATGTTAGCTATTAGAATTATTATTATTCTATGTTGAACATATGGAAAAGAGGCATTGAGTAAGGTACTTTATGTACATAATCCTTAGTATGTACTCAATCTGATCTGTCGAAAAACTGCACAGTAGTTTATTCCCAGAAACGCAAATGTGGCCTCCGTGTGGTAATAACCTCCTTCACAACTGGAGAGGATCAGGAGATGTCACCCCAGTGGAAAGGGACCTGATAGAATTATTTCCATCTTTAAAATAATCTTTGTGCTGCTGGTATTTAGATAGCCTAATCCTGCTACAGACAACCAGAAAGCCTGACTGTGGCTGGGAATGGAGGTCACGGCATGGGGGAAAGGGGCAGCTACAGGGCCAAATGGTGCCAATGAAAGATATTATATATCAGAAAACAAATTGCTAGAATTCACTTAGGTTTTGGGTTTGTTTGTTTGTTTGTTTGGAATTACATATTACACTTAAAAATTACCCCTTTTCTAGATACCCAGATAGAAATACAGGTTTGGATAATAAGCATTGACACAGAAAAGTTATTTTCTTTCTTGCTTTGCTTTATTTATTTTTTGACTAAATGAATTGCATTCATGATACATGAATAGCCACTAGAGTGAAGTGTTTAATCATAAAAATTACAATCACTTCAATGTTGATTTCTATGCATAGTATGTTACTCAATAATCACAAAAATGATCATGGAAATGGTAGAAGCTACCGTATAGGGGGACCTGGGTGGCTCAGTCAGTTGAGGGTCCGATTCTTGATTTCAGCTCAGGTCATGATCTCACGGTCATGAAATTGAGCTCTGCATTGGGCTCTGTGCTCAGCGGGGAGTCTGCTTGAGACTTTCCCTCTCCTTCTACCTCTCCCCTCTCCAAAGCTTGCTTGCTCGCTCTCTCTCTCTCTCTCTCTAAAAAAATATATCTTTAAAAAGCCACAATGTAGGGAATACTTTGGATGGGCACTGTGAGAGAAGGCCTCTTGATCTTAGATGCCCTGTGTGTGTGTGTGCATGTATAATCTCTATAGACTGCTAGAAACGTTCAAATTCATAGATATCTGTGTATGGGCATATATACACACAGGCATATTTATATAGTATATGTTATCATTTTAAATCTTACCACAACTTCACAAAAAAAAAAAAAAAGGAAACTAAGGTTACAAGAACTCAAACCACTTGGTCAAGGTCACGAAAAGTTGGCAAAGCTGGGGTCAAACCCCAAACCCTACCCACTCAGAAACCCCCCTTTTTAAAGATGCCCAAACAAATATTTTTGGAACAGCAGACTTTTCCACTACACCACACCATGCCTCATTGGGGAAAGGGTCAATTTTTGCCCTTTCTTTTCCAGACTCTCCAAGCAAAGATTTCGGTCCAACTCTGGGTTTGAAAAAGTCCAGTTCCTTGGAGAGCCTCCAGACTGCGGTTGCTGAGGTCAGGAAGAACGAACTTCCCTTCCACAGGCCCCGGCCGCACATGGTTCGTGGCCGCGGCTGCAACGAGAGTTTCCGGGCAGCCATTGACAAATCCTATGACGGACCGGAAGAGCTCGAAGCCGGTAGGACTAAGGGCCTCCTTACCCGCTTTCTTCATCTCATTATCATCCGCGAATCATAGCCAAGGATGTGTGCTTAATGACAAAGAAAAATGATTTAAGGATCACAATTATATTTTTGATATTAAAAGTAATTCATTTTCCTGATATGTTTTGCCCTTTGGCTTAACGAACGTGGAATTGGCTGACACAATATGCGATTTATTCAACAGTGCAAACGCTAAAGAAATGTCCCCTTTCACTTTCCTACAAGGACCAACTGTCATTTGCCCTTAGGCTGAGCACTAAGTATGCATTTCTTGACATTCTTATTCAAGTCATTAGAAGCAGCCTCAACCTGAGGACTGACTGCGTTAATTGGGTAAAAGCAGTTGGGTTACATGTGTCCTCAGAAACCTCTCCTGGAAATAAACTCGCCCTGTTTGTTTGCCAGCACATGGGCTCTCGGAGCCAATCGAGGTTAACAAGCTGTCTTTCAGAGATATTCGTGTTGTGCCACGGATCAAACCTTTCATACCACTGGCTGAACCACCCACTGCTCCCTCCTCCCCACAGGAAGCCTTACTTGAAGTAACCAGATTTAGGTAGTTGTCTCTTCAAAGGGTACAAGTAGCCACATGCAAGGGTAGAACTCTGGCATGGTTCCTTCATCCCTCTGTATTTTACATTTAACTTTTCTTGATACACTAACCGTGAGTGCCCCTGAACACATGTATTGATTTTTCTCTCTGCACAGACGGTCTGTCTGACAAGAGCTCTCACTCCGGCCAAGGGGCTCTGAGTTGTGAATCTGTCCCTCAGGGGAACCCTGAGCTGGAGGACGGGGAGCAGAAAGCCAGGAAAATCAAAAAACCGAAAGAGAAGGAGAAGAAGAAGGAAAAGGGCAAACTGAAAGTCAAGGAGAAAAAGCTGAAAGAGGAAAATGAAGACCCAGAGAGGAAAATAAAGAAGAAAGGGTTCGGTGCCATGCTGAGGTATGGGCGTGCTGTGAAGGCACAGTGGGCCTTGTCTTGCTTTTTGGTTTTTCCTGGTGAAATCGCTAATCTGTGTGTATCCAGAAAACAATGGCAAGTGTTCCCTCCTTTTTAGCTAAGAGCATAAAAATCTCAACTGCGAAGGCACTTGTTCCTTTCCTGCAGAAGCAGAAGGAGCCTTCCTGGGTGGCCCCCGAGGCTTCCTGGGATGATAGGAGGCTGTGATCAGTTTGCTGTGAACTAAAGGCTGATGCCTGGTAGAGGCACGGGCTGTGCTTGCAGCCCTTGGTTTATGCGGTGGATTAAATGCGTCTTCAGTGTAGGGAAAGCGAGAGGTGAGAGGGAGTCCCCCACCACGGCGTGTATGACACCCCTGGTGACTTAGAGAAGACAGAGTAGATGTACGTCACTCACCCGCCCCGGAACCAGAGGTGTGTGGCCAGGCCTGTGAGCACGTTAGCACCTGCAGAAGCTAGGAGTGGTCAGTGGAGAGGTCACTGCGTCTAGGGTCAGAGCACCCGTCCTCAGTCCATGACCCTGCCCGGCTTCATGGGTTGCTTCACTTCCCCAAGCCTTCCTCTCTTCACTTTAACAGTGAGGCTGGGCACGTCCCCAAAGGGCACAATCAGAAACCAACTTTGGCTCCTGTCCTACAGCTAATTCCAAATGTGCTTTTTTGATGCTGAAACAATGTCCACGATTCAGTGACGTCATTCCACCCGATGGCTTTCTGGTCACTTTGGGTATTAAAACAACCTCTGCCTCGGAGTCTAAAACGCCAGTCTAATGTTAACCAAAAGTTCCCCTCCCTGCCCCTCAAGTCTCTACCCCAAGGTGATGTGGGGGCAAGATCCCACCTTCTGCTGCTTCTCAGTCTCTGGACCCAGGGGGAAGGGTAGGGCAGTTTTAGAACCAGGGTGGAATTCCTCTCCACCAGTCCTGCCATAGTGATATCCCAACCAGCCTGACATGTTCAGATTTCTCCAGGGCAGGGTCCAGCCCTGTTTTGTGCCTCCCCAGCTCTGGAGCCACGAGCCAAACCCAAGTTTGCATGCATGGGGAAGGAAGAGGGGCAGTGAGTGTTTGCGTCTCAAGCAAATGGGGAAGATGACCATCTCCCTTCATACAACTGCCTTCAAATTCTCTCAGGGGTCATCTTGCAGACTCCTCACTTACTTTATTGGTGGAAATGGGGGGAAGCAGCCCTTTCCATTATTTTCTTTGCTCTTACAACTTTCCATCACAGAGAATCTCTCTCTCAATCTCTATCCTTCTTTTATCCAGGGTCTGAAGGTGAGGGATGGGAGGTGATGTTGGCTACCTCTTAGTCAGCTCTTAGGAGATATCTCTTTCAAGAATACTGGGTGGCTGGGGTGCCTGGGTGGCTCAGTGGGTTAAGCCTCTGCCTTCGGCTCAGGTCATGGTCCCACGGTCCTGGGATTGAGCCCCATATCAGGCTCTCTGCTCAGTGGGGAGACTGCTTCCCCCTCCCCCTCTGCCTGCTTCTCCGCCTACTTGTGTGATCTCTCTTTCTCTCTCTCTCTGTGTCAAATAAATAAATAAATGAAATCTTAAAAAAAAAAAAGAATACTGGGTGGCATTTGTCATCAGATGGTTTTTTTTTTTAAGATTTTATTTATTTATTTTAGAAGGAGAAAGACACAAGTGTGAAGGGGGAGGAGCAGAGTTGGGGGAGGGAGTCTCAAGCAGACTCCTCACTGAGCACAGAGCCTGAAGCAGGGCTCAATCTCATGACCCTGAGATCACAACCCCAGGCAAATCCAAGAGTTGAATACTTAACCGACTAAACCAGCCAGGTACCCCAAGTTTGGGATTTTCAATGAAAATTTTCAAACAGAAACAGAAAGCTCTATTCTGTATCTGTTATTCATATGTAATATATGAATATAAATATAATCTGTTATTATATATAAATATGGAAAGACTCATTGAAACTGCAAAATCACATTTAGGCAACACAGATAATATTGATAGCAGTAGGACACGTCTCAATAAATGCTGGTTTGTTTTTCCTGGTGGTCTCTATAGACTCTGTCTTCCCATTTGACATTTTGAATGTTAAACTTGCCCTTTTTCCAGGTAATTATTATGATTGCCAGAATTTGCAGGCTATGCTTTAACCATCCTGATAATAATGACACACACAATCCAAATATATAGATGGAAATTGGCTTTGAATTTATGGAGGTCAGAGATTAAACAGGACAGGCTCTGCATGTGGAATGCTAAATTCAATCCCAGCTCTTCCTGTTATCTATCTAGGTAGCATTCGGCATACTGTTCAATCTATGTGCCTCAGTTTCCTCATCTGAAAAATGGAAATAATAATAGAATATACCATTATTATGGGAATTATATGTGTTTAGTTACATGTAACATGCTTATAGAACAGCACCTGGCAAGAAATACACATTCAATAGATGTTGTGGTAAGCAGAATAAAGGCCCCTTAAAGATGTCCATAGTGTAATCCCTGGTACCTGTGAATATGTCATGTTGCATAGCAAAGGAGAGTTAAGGTACAGATGGAACTAAGGTTGGGGATCATCTGACTTTAAGATAAAGATGATCATCCCAGATTCCCCCCATGACCCAAAGTAATTATGAGAATCCTTAAAAGTAGAAGAGAGGCCCACCTGGGAGGCTCAGTGGGTTAAACCTCTGCCTTAGGCTTGGGTCATGATCTCAGGGTCCTGGGATTGAGCCCCATATCGGGCTCTCTGCTCAGCGGGGAGTCTGCTTCCCCCACCCCCCGCCCCCTGCCTGCCTCTCTGCCTACTTGTGATCTCTGTCTGTCCAATAAATAAATAAAATCTTAAAAAAAAAATAAAAGAGGAATATATGACTGAAGAAGAAAAATACAGAGGAATGCGATGGTGCCAGCTTTGAGATGGAGGGAGGTGGCCATGAGCCAAGGAATGAGGGCAGCCTCTAGAAGTTAGAAAGGGCAGAGGAGGGGATTATGTCTAAAGAGCCTCTAGGAAAGAACCCTGCCTACCAAATCCTTAACTTCAGCCCATGTCTGTTGTTTAAGCCACTATGTTTAAGATACTCTTTTACAGCATCAATAGAAAGCTAACATAGTTATTATAATTATTAGTAGTACTTCTACAATATCATGGTAATTTATAAGAAAACAAGTTCCTCTTTAAGGTGTTAAAGAAAAAACAAAACAGATTTAACTAGAGTGGTCTACATATATAAAAACTATTAAAGCCTCACATATCCCATTTTTCTAGAATATTACTGAAGTAAGCCTTCACTCTATTTTTTGCTTCAATGACTCAATTTGGCCAATTCATACTCTGCTGCCGGAATATAGAGCCCATTCCTTCTGTTGTCCTATATACGCTGTATTTGCCTATGGTGGAAATCATACGTCCTAGATCCTTTAGACATCGAGCAATTCCGTTTTGTTTCCTTCTCCCGTTTTAGGAAAATTAAGATCTGAAAGGTGGTGTTTGATTTTATCTCCCGTGTAAAAATAGCAACTGTTTTCCATAGCCTTTTGCATCTGAGTGTGTGAGCATATTGGAGTTGCTGCTGCATGCACATTTTCAGCAACAAAGAACACAAAAGCTGTTGCCATTAGCCAACAGATTTTGCTTTAATTCTCATCTGTTGCTCAGATGCTATTGACTTCGTTTCTTTCTTATTTAAAAAAAGATTGATTGCTTTAAGGCTCTCTAGAAGGTAGATGTGTGGCTTAAATATGTATTATTTGTTCCATTATCTGCATTTTACAGCCACTCTCCTGACACGGAGCTTTAATGCAGGTTGTGCCATGGACAGTGGCACCTGGCCAAGGGCACATGTGGGGACGAAAATCATCTCCCTCTCCTCACCGAGCTACGCATCGCAAAAGTGAGAATGTGTTAGCAGTGGCTTTGCTCTGGTTGTAACATGCTAAGTGTTGTGTGCTTTTCTAATATTAGCTGGTCCATTCATGTTAATTTGACCTACTCCTGATCCTTTTGAAAAAATTATGGGGATCTCATTAATTTGTATCTTTAAATGTGCGGTCTGGTGCCAGTATGCATAATGCTTTTCTTTCTTTCTTTTTTTGTTTTTAAGATTTTATTTATTTATTTGACAGACAGAGATCACAAGTAGGCAGAAAGGCAGGCAGAGAGAGAGGAGGAAGCAGGCTCAGAGCAGAGAGCCTGATGCGGGGCTCAATCCCAGGACCCTGGGATCATGACCTGAGCCAAAAGCAGAGGCTTTAACCCACTGAACCACCAGGCACCCCCTTTTCTGATTTCAGAATTACCTCCTCATAGAGTCAACTATGGCTCTGACACAAGCCATGAATTATTATGGAAAAATATGCAACTCAAGAATCTACCAACTTTGTTAGTTTCCCTGAATCCTCTGTTTACCTGTTGTTGAAAGAGGACATTGGGGAATCAAGATGCTTAAATTTTTTCATCACGTGTTGGCTTCCTTACGGCCATGTTCTCTTCGTGGCACTAGACTGTAGAGATAATGCCTGTGGCTCCTTGCGGCCAAAGGCTGAAGCCCAGACCCACTCAGTAGACAAGCCAATTGCCATCAGCCCCCGGCTGTTCTTCTGGGGTCTAGCAGATCTTTTCTAAGCACTGGAGAGAAATAGCCTTTGGCCAACAAAATCTTGCCCAGTCTAGAGCAGAAAGCCCAGCATGAAGTCCCTAATTTCTTAATTATTTAATAGCCATGTGGATCTTTGGTTCTTTTTTTTTTTAAGATTTTATTTATTTATTTGAAAGACAGAGACCACAAGTAGGCAGAGAGGCAGGCAGAGAGAGGAGGAAGCAGGCTCCCTGCTGAGCAGAAAGCCCAATGCGGGGCTCGATCCCAGGACCCTGGGACCATGACCCGAGCCAAAGGCAGAGGCTTGAACCCACTGAGCCACCCAGGTGCCCTGGATCTTTACATTCCTTAAACTGATTTCTGTCCCAAGTCTGTGTTTAAAATCATTCCTTTATATCATATTTGCTGTTG